CCGTGTCAGGTGGTGGTGTGCTTTCCTTGGTGGGATTGACTCGTTTGGCGGATGCTTGGTCAAGGTGGGCTCAATGAAGCCCTAATGGGCCAGGGAAACCCGAATTGACCTGATAAAACCTTAATGGGTCCAATGAGGCCAAAAATAACCTAAAAATCCCAACCAATTAATTAATGGCCTAGTATTGGGTAGGAAACCCTAAGTAGGGTTTGGAAAACCCTAATGGCTTAAAACCCTTATTATTGGGAATTAATCAGCACACACATGAGATTTATTTAATAACTTGAGATATTAAATAACACTCATTAGCAAACTAGCTTAAGGAAATAATAGACTTAATGGATTAAGTCTGTAATGGGTTAAATAAGAAACACTTAACCTAATTATTATTTCATGGGAAAACCCTATTAAATTGGGCCTTCCTAGTGGGCTTTGGTAATTGGTCTATTAATGGGCCCTTAATAATAAGCAAATGGACTAAACACTTATATGGGTTTTGGGATATGGCCTATGTGAGAGTCTTGGGCCCAATTTGGAAAATTGGGTTATTGATGAGCCATATTTAGGCCTTTTGATTATGTGATATTGGGCCTTGGAAATTGGATTGGAATATTTGGGTGGGCCTTGAGAAAAGACCATGTAAAGGTCTGGGCCTAATTTCGAAAATTGGGCAATATATTGGGCTTGGCCCATTACTTGACTTTTAGGCTTGTGGAGTGTGAGTTGGACTTTGAGTTTGGAACCCAATTATTAATTAGGTATTATTTGATGTTGATAGTTCGGGAACCTGTCAACCAGCAGCTGGAGTGTATGTGCAGGACTTCAACAGTGCCAGGTGAGTTCTCCTCACTATATCAAAAGGGTCTAAGGCACCAAGGCCGGCCCTTTAGATTGTATCCTGGTAGATAGGATTTGGTATGCTATTATGAGATGCTAGATTGGTATCCTGGTAGATAAGATATTTTACATTGTTATGATCTGTTAAATCGGTATCCTGGTAGATAGGATGTTTTATGTTGTTATGATATGTTAAATCGGTATCCTAGTAGATAGGATGTTTTATGCTATGATGATCAGTTATATCTGTATCTTGCTATATAGGATGATGCTATGTTAGTGGTTTGGTTAGGTCGGTATCCTGGTTGTAGGATGTTGCTATGATTAATGATCTGTTAGATTGGTAAGACTGTTACACACACACACACACATATATATATATATATATATATATATATATATATATATATATATATATATATATATATATATATATATATATATATGCAAATGTATGATGTTTATGTACACATGTTTGTTTGATTTGCGCTTTGGTTGAGGCGGTCTCACTTTGTGCTGAAGGCCAACATACCCAGGGTGGTTTGGTTAAACTGAAGGCCTTGCAAAGGGATTCAGTTAGACCGAAGGCCCGACGAGCGATCCGGATAGGCTGTAGCCCTGCGAGGCAGTCCAGATGTGCCGAAGGAATGGAGAATAGTCCACATAGACTGAAGCTCTATAAGATGGTACAGTCAAGCTGACAGCTAATTATGGATGTTGTTCTGAAATTGTTATATGATCTGGATATATTTGTATGGTGTTGGTATTTTGGGGGAACTCACTAAGCTTTGTGCTTACGATTTTAGTTTATTGTTTCAGGTGCTTCAGATGTCTCGGCAAGGTGAAGGCGTGATCGTACACATCCTCGTGTTTTGGACTTATGGTCTCTAGGAAACTCTGGTAATAAAGCATTTTGAAAACACAGTTGTAATATTTATAGGTTTTGAAATGTTTTTAAAAGTTTTAATTTGGCTTGAAATTTTTCGATGTTACGACTAATTTAGGCTTAGAACCCTTAATTGGGCTCTAACTGGACCCACCTTCATGATATTTAACATTTTTGAGCCATATTGGGCCTAAAATGGAATAAAATACTCCAATAAACCTTATTGGGCAGTAACTAACCTAATTAGCTTTAATGGGCCATAAAACCCATTCTTTTACACTAATTGGACCGTGAACCATCCAAAGAAGCCCAATGGCCCGAAAAGTAATTATGGGCCTATAAAATTTCGAACAAAGCTATGAATGGCCCAAGAAAAACCCATTCTTCCTTTTTAAACCCCAAGAAAATCAACCCATATACATATATATATATACACACATTCATATATATATATATATATATATATATATATATATATATATATATATATATATATGCAAAAAAAAAAGCGAAATGAAGTGAATTATGTGCATGAGACACCTCAATATTGCATGGAGGGTATCCATGCACATCACCCCACTGTCTCTCTTCTTCCCTCTTCTTCCTTTCTTCGGCCAAGGATCACACACACACACCCCACCACCATTTCAATTTACTTCAAACACTCTCCAAATACTTCTACATTTCCTTTAAATTTTCAAAGCTTTGTTTGGATCTTCATGGAGATTTTCATTTATGTTATCATCTTGGTAAGTTTTCATTTGGATTCATGGGTTAACTTCTTGATTTTCTCAAATATCTCTCGTTAAACCATAGCATTCCATGGATTATACCTCTTTGCTTCATAGCTTTCGAAAACCACTCAAGGGGAGTTTGTTCAAGGCCGAAAAATCCTTCATCTTTTCTTCAAAACCAAAACAACAAACCCAAGGTGAGTTCATACCCCATTGTTTCCAGCTTTTTACTTGCTTTTACGGGGAGAATACAAGTGTTATGTGTTGATCTATGTGTGTTTGCATGTTACATGTGATTTCTTTGATTTATGTTGTGAAAAATTGTGTTAATACATGTTATATCAGAAGATCTATAGCGAAAGTCTGAAAGATTCATAAACAAAAACATAATAAGACAACATACTTCAAAGATCTAAGAGTCTTTAGACTAAATAAGTGAAAACAAATTCAAAAATCTTTATAAGTGTCATTTTTGCAAAAATAACAAAGATTTGGGTAAAATATGATATTTTCGGTTTTATAAGAATAATATAGTATTATTTACATAAAAATCTGACTTTTATGAAAATAACACTTCTCAAGGGGCCAAAAATTTAAATTATAGCTTATTAGGCTTACATTTGGGCCTCACGGATTTTTGGGTCCAAAATTGTAAAAATGAAGATTTTTGGGGTTGAAATTGTAAATTCACTTAAAGTATGACTCTAAAACATAAACAAACTATTTCGGGGGCTGAAAATGATCTTTAATGCAAGAGTTGGACTAAAATGCAAAGTTTTTTGAATTTGGGTAAAAAATGTAACACTTACGGAATTTGGGCCAAAAATGTAAACTTTTTACAAATAAGGGCTGGAAATATTAAATAATATGTTTTGGGCTCAAATTGTAATATAAATTGTGATTGGGCTGAAAATGCCAAGAAAAGAAATTTAAGGACCAAAAATATCATTTTTCATCAAAAGGGACTAAAAATGTCATTTTTATTAAGAAATAGATGAAAATGTAACTTTATATGAAAAATGAGCTGAAATGGTCAAATAAATATTTTGGGGTGAAATATGTTAATATTAAAACAACTAGGGTGACTCCCCCACACCTGAACTGTTCACTACAGTTAGACTCGGCCAGTCTTGGGTGACAAAATCTTGATCGAAATCGGCATTACAATAATGCCAAGACAGGCGAAATAGTTATTATCATGCATGGTTACAACATCTCACATAGAGATCCTTTACCATTTCATCAATCATGGGAAATCAACTTCATACATAGTGGTTATTCAATGTGGTTTATGAGATAATACGAAATCATACTTCTGTTTTGAATCGGAAAATATCGGATTTTCCAGGGAATTTATACCATTCATTTAACACATCAAATTCAATAAAATGAGGGCTTTTGGGATAGTCATACAAATATACATGTTTTGAACTCACGTATACATCTGCATATATTGGATCATCACATCACATCGTAAATAGATTTTATTTCAAAAATATCGGATTTTCTGGGTTATACAACGATACAAATCATTTTATATCAAACATGCTTATGAACTCACCAACATTATATATGTTGGCCCGTTTTCAAATAACTTGTATTCTCAAATAACAGATAAGCAGAAGATAATTATCAAGCGTATTAGGATTTCATGTTTTGTGACTTTTAAACAATATACATATAACTGTGTAATATTTGTTCAATGTACTTGATGTGAAATATGGAAATTGTACTATGTAATGTTGGTAATGTATGTTTTTGTTTCATGTATATTCATTGTAATGGTATTCAATTGTGATTCACGCAAGCCCTCGGAGGTTTCCGCTGTCCGGTTCGAGGGTGTCACAACTACCACATAATATCATATCATAAACATACTACTAGGCATGTATGGGTTCTTATGATCCCCTTCGGTATATTTCAACTGGTATCCGGGGTCTATTTCACTCTTACTTACTACTGGCATGTTTCAAATAAAACCTTAGTACACAAACATAATAGATAATGGCAGACCAGATAATTATCATAAAGTCAATCATCTAACAACCACACAAGCTAGTGGGCTGAGTTCCATAATCCTTAGAAAACTAAAAGGAATTCGGAGGTCAGGGTGCGTTTGTTAATTTATGGATTTAAATTGAAAAGATTTGAATACTTAAGGGTTTATTAGTAATTTAGGGATCTATTACGAAAGAAATTTATGGGATCAGGGCTTAAAAGGTATGTTTTGGATTTAGTTGTAAAGATTTCTAAAGGTAGGGATAAAAGTTTAAAATGTGGATTGAATTTTTAAGGAAAAGGGAAATGAGGGGCTAATCTTGGCATTATGGAAACAAGTTTGGGGGATTGGGGTATATAAACCCATCACCACGTTGAAGCCCTAACCCTAACGCCACTATGTCCAGCCGCCACTCGCACCTCTCACTTCCAGCCGCCGCAATCTCCTAGCCACCGCTGAAGCCAGTCGCCGGAGTCCATCCCTTCTACATCGGAAATTAAGTACGGTGTTTTGATGGTTTGTTGCTATTGCGAACCACCGGACCTCAACCGCCGCTTCTGTTTCTGCTGGAGGCAGAGAACGATGATGGAGCATCGTTAAGTCGGAAGTAATGGGAGGCAATTCGTAGCCACCTACGCGGCCTCCTCCTCATATGTGAAGCTAAAGAAACGAGACTATCGATGGAGCCGCAAGATCGGTCGATGACGAGGCCGAGATCCACTAACCGCCATTGATACGTTGCTGTTGCCGCCACCGGAGGAGCTGGAGTGTGGTTATTGTCGTCGTGGACCCCCCCCCCTCTCTGCTCAGTTCGTTGTTGCTAAGCCTCCATCTCTATCCTCTTCTTTCCGATCAGTCCTGCTGGCATGAAACCATCACTGTTGCCGCCATGCGCCACTTCTGGACACCACAGTGTGGTTGTGTGTGTGTGTGTCTATTTTAGGTGGTGGCTGTCGCCACCGGCCACCGTGTCGAGTGGCGGTGTGCTTGCCTCTTTGAGTTCGATTCGTTTAGGGTGCTTGAAACCCTAATGGGCCTTGTAAGCCTTAATGGACCCTAATTGACCCAATAAAACCCTATGGGCTTAACGATATTCTAGTGGGCCTAATAAAGCCCTAATTGACCTAAAAGCCCAACAAATCGATAAATGGGCTAATATTTGGATTGGAAACTCTAATTAGGGTTTGGAAAACCTTAATGCAATGAAATCCTAATTTAGGGAGTTAACCGAGACACACGGGAATTATTTAATAACTTCATATATTAAATAATAATCATTGGTAAAGATTAATCTAAGCAATATTGGACTTAATGGATTAAGTCCTTAGAGGATTAAGTCCATGATGGGTTAAGTGAGAAACACTTAACCCTAATCGTCATTTTATGTGAAACCCTAATTTCACTTGGGTTTATTGTTGGGCCTTTCTATTGGGCCTTAATGATTGGGTTATTAATCGGCCATCCAAGATCAAGCAAATGGAGTAGAATAATTAACAGGCTTTGTGGTAATGCCCATATGAGGAGTTGGGCCCAATTTGGAAAATTAGGCCATAGATGGGCCATATTTTGGGCCTTTATGATTATATGATATTGGTCCATTAGAATGTTGAATGTTGGACTGCACTAAATGGTTGGTGCTTATGGTAAGACCTTGTAAGGGTTTGGGCCTAATTTGGAAAATTGAGCCATATGATGGGCTTTGACTCATAGTTGACTTTTGGGTGTATGGATTGGGCCTTGGGCTTGAATAAAGCCAAGCATGGGGTAATGTAGTAATGACCCCAAGTACGTACTTATGGTTATGTAGTGGAACCTAATTATTAATTGGGTGTTATTTTGGTGTTGAAAGTTCGGGAATCTGTCATCCAGCAGTTGGGGTTGATTTTGCGGGACTTCAGCAGCGTGGGATTGTATCTACGTGACTTCAGCAGTGTGAGGTAAGTTACCTTCCAGTAGCGGTGGGTCTACGGCCACAATGTCGACCCACTAGTAGGAGTTGTATGTTAGATGATTGTCTTTGTGATATTCATCTAGGTTTGCTGCTACCTGTTATGTTTTATGTGCTAGCATGTTATGATGTTATGTGATAGTGGTAGTAGGGGTGAATTAGTCCTTGGTTACCGGTCGATAGGACAAAAGGGGTAGTTTAGTACCCAACCATGCTAGCCAGATTATGATATATGTGATATGATATTGTGTGGTAGTAGTAGGGGGTGAAATAGTCCTCAGTTACCGGTTGATAGGACCAAAGGGGTAGGCCAGCACCCACATATGCTAGGCAATATGTGATTTATGCTTATATGCTAGCATTTTATGTGGTAGTGGTTGGGGTGAAATAGTCCCCGGTTACCGGTTGAAAGATACCGAAGGGGAGGACATTTCCCGGTTACCGGTTCAAAGATACCGAAGGGGTAGGCCAGCACCCAGATATGCTACGCAGTCACTGGTTGAGAGGACCGAAGGGGTAGGCCAGTACCCAGATATGCTTGGCAAGCTCACCGGTCGAGAAGTCCCAATGGGTAGTTCGGGTACCGAAATATGCCTGGCAGTATGTATGTTATATGCGTTTGTATGATATGTGGTATGATAGGGGACCTCACTAAGCTTTGTGCTTACGGTTTACACTTTTGGTTTCAGATACTCATTTTCAAAGGAAAGGAGTCGGCTTGATCGCAGTGCATCAGACTATGTTTTCCGCGCATGAGATCTTTGGGATTACACTTTAATATTATTTTATGATAATATGTTTTGATTACTCACACTTTGGTTTGACACAAGATATTATTATGAATGTTTTTATACTAATGGTTTTATGTAATAACTTATTTAAAAATGAAAATTTTGGCCTTGAATTTTAGGATGTTACACCGTCCATGTCCAAAACTATTCAGTCAATTTCAGTTAGCCTTAATGCATCCAGAACATAGATCTAACCTCCTAGGGTCCGTATTACACATAAACTCACAAACTTTACATCAATGCATGGGTCTTCAAACTCAAAAGACCCAAAAATAAGGTCCACAAGGTGCATGGGACTCCCATGGCCATAAAGTTGGCACCTTTATGACATGGGAACCCTCAATGGTTCAAGATCTGAGGTTATACCCCCTTAGAACCACAACATCTCGAAAATGTCTCTACTAAAGCTTAGAAATGGTAGAAACTTTCCCTAACTAGAGATCTAAAAGGTAAGTGGTCAAGGTTGAAGCTTTTTACCTTAAACAAGTTGGAAATGTGCCAAAACTTCTGGATCTAGTTGCCTTTTCTTGATCTCCCAAGCCTCCTATTTCTTCTCAAGCTTCTAACACACATAAAATGGCACAAAGAGCTCAAGAACACTCAAAAATTGATTAGGGTTTCATGAGGATGATGTAAGGGTGAAAAACTGCTCTTCCTCCGGCTCCCAAGTCCATTATGAGCCCTTATGGTGTTGCCATTGGATCTTCACAATCTTGACCCTCTTGTTCCTCAGATCCTTCGACTTCGTGTTGAGGATGGCTACTGGTTGCTCGATGTAGTTCAGCCTATCATCCACCTAAATATCCTCTAGAGGTACCACCGTTGAGTCGTCTACCTAGCACTTCCTCAGCTGGGTGACATTGAAAGTGTTGTGGATCTGGCGAAGCTTAGCTGGCAGATCCAACCTATATGTCACCTTGCCTACCAGGGCTGCAACCCTGAAAGGCCTAATATACCTGGGACCCAACTTACCCCGCTTCCTGAATCGGATGACACCTTTCCTAGGTGACACCTTCAGTAGGACAATATCCCCGACATGGATTTCTAGGTTTGAACGGTGCTTGTCGGCATAGCTTTTCTACCGACTCTGAGAAGTCGGAATCCTACTTCGGACCTGTTGGATCCTCTCTGTTGTCTTGAGTATCACTTCAGTACTCCCATGACCCTCTGTCCAACCTCACCCTAGCATATCGGGTTCTTCACTTCCTCCCATATATCGGACCTTCGACCCCTTAGGGCAGAAGCTCATCAACTGAGCAGACTCCATGTCTGCGATCCACCTGCTGGAAACAATGGGGTCTTTCACCTCGTAGAAGTCTGGCGCACCACACCCCATGAAGTCCATGTAGGAGAGTGTGTGTCCCTGTCTAGCTAGATACCATGTTGCTCCTGAACTCCCTGAGGCGATCCTCCATCATCTCCATAATCCCTTCCTTGATCGACCGAAAATCACCGCGGTCGCCTCAAGGATGCCTCTAGTGATCTCTAACACGATGAAATCGCGCAGTCTCTCATCAACTAGTTCGGAACCCGAACCCAAACTTGATCCTTATCTTGACCTTGATCCTGATTGTCCTACTCTGTGACGCATAATCATCACCATTCTGAAACAAAACACATAATTGTCAGGGTCACACAAAATCTCGAAAGATCTGACACACTCTACAAGTTCAGTGGTTCTATATCGTCCCTCCTTGACTCGAGTACGGATCCTATGCTTTCAGTAGTACATGCCCATACCTTCCACATCTATCCATAATTTCCTCAAGGATTGCTTCGAGTTCACCAAGTCCCTTCTACTACAGTTGCACTCTATACTAATCTCATCCTATGCTTAACCTAAGGTAACTTGCTAACCCACTCTCTGCCATAAGTTACGTAAGAAGTTCCTGTCACCTTCACCAAACTGGCTTGCGAATACCATTACATATCACTAAGACCAGATAATTCTTTGAATGAGAGGTCCTACCCTACAATGGTTAGACTCAAACAAGAGGTGTGAAGTAGGGCTAAATCTAACCTTCTGAAATTCTTTAGTCCTCATAATATGTAACTTAATGTATTCGTTTAATAGTTAGTTAAAGATTACTAGAACTCTTATTAGCACAAAGTAAGCAACATTCGGGCATTGAATAACCCAAACCAAGCATAACATATCCAGGCTATCATGTAGCTTAATCAGGCACATACAATAGGCATAACATGCATATTCCTAGATCCTTAGCTCTATTCTAGCATGCAGTTCACATATTCATATCATATCATAACATAAAATGTATGGGTATCTTGGGGAAAACTTACTTGAGCTCAGTCGGTTGGACACACCACACACCTTGTTCTTTTCAAAGTTCCTTTCTCTTTTCAAGTTCCTTTCAAAATTACTTTTTATAAAAATGATTTTCTTTGAAAATTCTCATACCAAGTCCTTAGTTTGAGTTCAGTTACGTTCGAGTGTATGCCCTAATCCCTCAAACCAAGGCTCTGATACCAACTAGTAACATCCTAATTTTCAAGGCCTAAAATTACATTTTTGGTATAATGATTCATAAAAACATTTTATAGAAAAACATTATCGAGTTGTTTCGTTACATAAAAACCATAGACCCTGGGTCTCAACCATGTAATGAAACAATAATAATGGTAATAATAATAATAATAATAATAATAATAATAATAATAATAATAATAATAATAATAATAATAATAATAATAATAATAATAATAATAATATCATAGTACAATCCAAAGAATCTCATAATACGGAAATCTGGTGTGTGTGATGCGTAGCTACCGCGTCAGCTCCTTCCCCAACCGGTAACCAGGAGCTAATCTTCCCTTCGGTATCTTTCAACCGGTAGCCAGGAGCTACCCTCACCTTCCATATCTTTCAACCGGTAACTGGGGACTATTTCACCCCTACCACTACCACATAATATCACATCATAAACATACTACTAGGCATGCATGGGTTCTTACGACCCCGTTCAGTATCTTTCAACTGGTATCCGGGGAGATTTCACCCCTATTTACTACTAGCATGTTTCACATAGCATCCTAGTACACAAACATAACAGAAAATGGTAGACCATATAATTATCAAGAAAACAATCATCTAACAACAACTACTGCTAGTGGGCCGACATTGTGGTCTTCGACCCACTGCTACTAGAAGATAACACACCTCAATGTTGTGAAGTGTCTGAACTGCCCTCGTTGTCGGGATCAACTCCTCTTAACTCCTAAACATAACAATCTTCCTTAATTATGATTTCATAATGTTAACCCCTTTCATGGGTCAACTCAGGTCAAAGTCAAGGTCAACACCATGGTCAAAGTCAACTCTGGGTTAAAGTCAACATCTACTTGACTCAACTCGCTGATTTGGTCCACCAACTCACCGAGTTCCATAATCCTTAGAATGTTAGAAGCTTTGACCCTACTCGTTGAGTCTTTCAAGAACTCGCTGAGCTCTCCATCATACAAAATCAGGACCTTCTACAACTCACTCGCCGAGTTCATCCTTGAACTCGTCGAGTCCTTCTTCTTGTAAGTTGGTGCAGTTACTCCTAGACTTGTAGAGTTCTCCATGAACTCGTCGAGTTCTACTTCATGAAGTTGGGACTTAGTCTTGAACTTGCCGAGTTTGTTCTTGAACTCGTCGAGTTCCATGATCTTCAGGTCCATAACGAACCCAACTAGCTGAGTCTTCCTCCAACTCAACACATTGCTCATTATCAGATGAGGTTTGGGGGAAACTGCGACCTAACTCGATGAGGCCCTCCATGTCCAAAATATTCAGTCGATTCTAGTTGGCCTTAATGCATCCAGAACATATATCTAACCTCTTAGGGTCCATATTACACGTAAAGTCACAAAATTTACATCCATGAATGGGTATGCAAGCTCAAAAGACCCCAAAATGAGGTCCACAAGGTGCATGGGAACCCTAAATGGTTCAAGAGTTAAGGTTATACCACCTTAGAACCACAACATCCCAAAAATGGCTCTACTAAAGTTTAGAAAAGGTAGAAACTTTCCCTAACTAGAGATCCAAAAGGCAAGTGGTGAACATTGAAGCTTTTTACCTTAAACAAGATGGAAATGTGCCAAAACTTTTGGATCTACTTGCCTTCTCTAGATCTCGCAAGCCTCCTCTTTCTTCTCAAGCTTCTAACACACACAAAATGGCACAAAGAGCTCAAGAACACTCAAAAATCGATTAGGGTTTCATGAGGATGGTATGAGGGTTCTGGAGGCTGTAAAGGAAGCCAATTAAGGTGTTTAAATAGGGTGCAAACCCTTACAATTAGGGTTTCATCTAGACAGGACTACTTGTTGAGTCGGGGAATCCGACACGGCGATTATGTCCTTCCACCCGCGTCTAAGTTTTGCCTCTACTCAACGAGTTGGGGCCTCCAACTCGCCATGTCCTAGAGTAAAAATGCAAAAATTCTTATTTAAATTACGTACCAGGAAACGAGCGTTACACATTTGATTAGCTTCATTATCAGAAATTGGAGCTCTCTTAATCTTCTTAAAGTATCTAAACAGAAAAGCCTTAGGAGTGATTGAAAAGTCAAGATGAGAGTCAGTAGTATTATCCAGCTCAAACGATACTGAAGGCTCCAACCAATGATTGCTCAGTTCATTGACTGGTTCCTTCTGAATTACTTCATGTGTCCATGGAGGAAAGAGGGACTTATTAGTTGCAAAAGTGACTTCCGCAATCTCAGCTTCATCCTCCTTTGCTTCTAATATTTGTCAAAGATTTAATGATTGTCAAGTTCCCTGTCGTATTTCTTCCTCACAAGCTTTTCACCTTCAGATAGTTCATCATCATCATCATCATCATCATCATCATCATCATCATCATCATTATCAATCATTTTCTCTTTTCCTTTAGATCAAGAAGCTTCATTATTGTTCTGATCCTTAGGATTCAGTTTTGGTTTCGGTTTTGGTTTTTGCTCATTTTCACAAGTCAGTTCAAAAGTCTTTTGCTTGGGTTTGTCTTTCATCTCTCCCCATTGTTGCGGAAGAGTATCACTTTCCAAAACACCTTCAATTTTATTAAGCATTGAAAAAACTTGATTGAGTTTCTCTGCAAGATGTTGTCGTACCGAGACAGTGAGCAGTGAATCACATGTCTCGACCAATCTTCCCAGATTGTAACATCCCAAAAATACGAGCCAAAAATTTCATTTTTAAAAACATGTAATTAGCAAAACATTAGTAATAAAACATACACTGATCATATCATTCATAAAAGTGTGTGTGTCTGGAAATCAGTTTATAAAAACATAACAAAGTCAGAGGACAATCCCCAGGAAGATCTCATAGTGCGGAATACAAAGTGTGTGTGTGATGGGCCGCTACCGTGCCAGCTCTTTCCCCTTCGAAGAAGAGATACCTGAAACCAATACTGAAACCTATAAGCACGAAGCTTAGTGAGTTCCCCCACTGTACCACATACCATAAAATCACATAACAAACATATACTGCTGGGCCTATCCGGGTGCCCGACCTACCCCTTCGGTCCTTGCGACCGGATACTGTCAGACATATCTAGGTGCCCGACCTACCCCTTCGGTCCTTGCGACCAGATACTGTTGGGCATATCTGGGTGCCCGACCTACCCCTTCGGTCCTTGCGAACAGATACTGTCGGGCATATATGGGTGCTCGACCTACCCTTTCGGTCCTTACGATCGAATACTGGGGACTATTTCACCCCTACTGCTACCACATAACACATATCACATAGCATCATATCATACTAACACATAAACATAACCTATGTAGTAGCAACCCTAGATGAATATCACGGAGACCATCATCTATTATTTAACTCCTACTGGTGGGTCGGCATTGTGGCCGTAGACCCACCGCTACTGGAAGGTAACTCACCTCGTAGCTGTTGCTCTGTGTGGGAACTATCTGTCTGCTGCTGCTGCTCCGAAAATCCTCCGGCTGCAATTCCCACCAAACACTTAGTCAAATACTGCTAATCGACCTCAAGGTAAACTGACCATTTACCCTTAACCAAACCATGAGTCAAAGTCAAAGTCAACTTCCAGTTGACCCGACTCGCCGAGTTGGCTTGTCAACTCGCCGAGTCCCTATCCATTTGTCTAACCCCAATCCCGTCTCTACTCGTTGAGTTTGGCATTGACTCGATGAGTTTTCGTTTTAAGCTGATGACCAAACGTTCTTCATTCTACTCGCCAAGTTGTATGAACAACTCGTCGAGTTCATCTTCATCTAATGAACACTCTATACTGAGACTCACCGAGTTGTATGAACAACTCGCCGAGTCTGTTCTTGTGGCAAGAAGATTGCCTTGAACTCGTCGAGTCATGGCATTGACTAGCCGAGTTACTACATGAGTGAGTTTGGCTTCCAACCTACTGAGTCACACCCTATGACTCACTACTCCAACCCGAAAACACGAAAAGGGGGAAAACTCGGGGACTCGCAACTTGACTTGCCGAGTCAGATGAACGACTCGCCGAGTCTGCCACATGCAATTACTATACACGCGATTCTGCTTGAATCTAACCCATACCATTCATAGATCTGGGTTTCTAGGGACTGGTTTACACGTAAAGTTTCCAACTTTACATGTAAATAAACACCCAAGAGGGTTTTAGGGCTCAAAATGCACCAAAAGAGTAGATCTACGGCTTTCATGCACTATGGCTCCACAAAGGTAGTAGATCTAAGCTACTGGAGCTTAATCATGCCTAGATCTAGAGGCTAAACAACTTATTACGAACCCTAAGACACAAACAAGATTGGGAAAAAGGTTCAAGAAGGACTTTCATTCAGCTAAAAGGGATAATGAGCATGAAAACAGAGGGAAACTGAGTTATACCTCAAGGAAATCACTGAAATAACACCAAGATGTCTGGCCTCCTTCTTCTCTTCTTGATCTACTCTCCTTTTCTCTCAAAATCTTCAAGAAAACACACCAAAGCACTTCAATCTCACAAGGAACAAGGGTTGGACGATATAGGGAGCTATGAGGGTGAAGGGGGCGAGCTTAGGGGCGGATAAGAGGGTTTAAATAGGATGCAAACCCTTGAAATTTAGGGTTTCATTTGATAGTGGGGACTCACCGAGTCCAGAATATGGACTTGCCGAGTTGCCAACTTAAACGTGTTCCAGATCCCGTCTCTACTCGGTGAGTCGGACCTACAACTCGCCAAGTCCAAGGCTAAAAATGAAAAACACTAAGATAAATTTTACGTACCAGGAACCAGGTGCTACAAATCTCCCCCGCTTATTTTAGACTTCGTCCTCAAAGTCTGCCGCTCGATCCTGAAACAGCTCGGGGTAATGCTCCATCATTTCTTCCACCGGCTCCCAAGTCCATTCCGAACCCTTGCGGTGCTGCCATTGGACTTTCACTAGTTCCACCCTCTTGTTCCTTAGATCCTTCGACTTCTGGTCGAGGATTCCGACTGGGCGCTCAATGTAATTCAGGCTGTCATCAACCTATATATCCTCCAACGGCACCACCGCTGAATCATCCATGAGGCACTTCCGCAGCTGGGAGACATAGAAGGTGCTGTGGATCTGACTGAGCTCGGCTGGCAGATCCAGCCTATATGCCAACTTGCCCACCTGTGCTACAACCCTGAACGGACCAATATATCTCGGGTCCAACTTGCCCGACTTCCTGAATCGAATGACGCCTTTCCAAGGCGACACCTTCACGAGAACCATATCCCCGACCTGGAACTCCAGGCCTGATCGACGCTTTTCGGCGTAAATTTTCTGCCGACTTTGCGCAGTCTGAAGCCTACTTCAAACCTGCTGGATCCTCTAGGTCGTCTTGAGCACCACCTCGGTGCTCCCCATGACCTTTTAACCAACATCAGCCCAACATATCGGGGTCCTACACCTCCGTCCGTATAACATCTCGAATGGGGGACAGTCAATAATCGCATGGTAGCTGTTGTTGTACGAGAACTCAGCCAAGGGAAGATAGGTATCCCAGCTACCACAGAAGTCTAACACGCATGCCGGCAACATATCCTCCAAAGTCTGGATGGTCCGCTCGCTCTGACCATCCGTCTGCGGGTGAAAGGCGGTGCTAAAATGCAGACACGTGCCAACTCATCATGAAACCTCTTCTAAAACCTGGAAGTGAACCGCACATCTCGATCTGATATCACTGACACTGGCACCCCGTGCCACGCCACTATCTCCCTGATATAGATATCGGCCAACTTTTCGGCCGAGATACTCTCCTGAATCGGAATAAAATGGGTGCTCTTGGTCAACCGATCCACGATGACCCAAATCAAATCTACTCCTCGCGCCATTCGTGGAAGATTTGTGATAAAATCCATCGTAATATCCTCCCATTTCCACAACGGGATATCCTACGGCTGCATCTTTCCGTGCGGTCTCTGATGCTTGGCCTTGACCTTCCAGCAGGTCAAACACCGCTCGACGTACCACGCCACATCCCGCTTCATGCAAGGCCAACAATAGTCTAGGAGAAGATCCCGATACATCTTCGTCGCCCCTGGATGAATAGAGAATCGGGATTTGTGCGCCTCCTCCATCAAGATTTGGCGCACGCCTCCATGATACAGCACCCACACCCTACAGTGTAGTGTCAATAACCCTCGGCTATCATAATCGAAGGAGGTGACTTGACCCACTATACGCTCACTCTTTCGATGATCCTCCTTCATAGCCTCCTGCCGAGCTTCCCGAATCTGTTCTAACAGGGGAGTCACTACAGTCATCCTCCTACAAATATCCCTGATCGGCGCCGCCTTGCGGCTAAGCGAATCGGCCACCACATTGGCCTTCCCCGGGTGATAAAGGATCTCGCAATCATAATCCTTCACCAAGTCCAGCCACCGACGCTGCCTCATGTTCAAATTCGGCTGATCCATGAGGTACCTCAAACTCTTGTGATCTGTGAAAATGGTACATCGAACCCCGTAGAGGTAATGCCGTCATATCTTGAGGGCGAAGACCACCACCCCCAATTCTAAATCATGCGTTGGGTAGTTCACCTCGTGAGGCTTTAGCTGCCTCGAGGCGTAAGCAATGACATGCCCCTCTGCATCAATACTGCGCCTAATCCCGAGATAGACGCATCACAGTACACCACAAAATCCTCTACGCCCTCGGGTAGGGCTAAGATTGGCGCCTCACACAATCTCTACCTCAGAATCTTGAACGCTGCCTGCTGCTCATGCCCCCAAAGAAAGACCACGGTTTTCCTAGTCAACCGTGTCAGGGGTACGACTATCTTGGAGAAATCCTGAATGAATCTCCGATAATATCCTGCTAATCCTAGGAAACTCCGAATCTCGGATGGAGACTTCGGAATGTCCCATCTCATCAAGGCCTCCACCTTGGTCGGGTCTACTGAAATCTCGTTCTGGTTGACGAGGTGCCCAAGAAACCGCAGCTCGCGCAACCAAAACTCACATTTGGAGAACTTGGCATACAAGCTCTCCCTCCTCAAGGTTTCCAAAACCTCTCACAGATGCTCCTCGTGCTCCGCCTGCATCTTGGAAGAAACCAAGATATCATCAATGAAAACTATCACTGACCGATCCAACATCAGTCTACACACGTGGTTCATGAGGTCCATGAACGCGGCAGGAGCATTGGTGAGCCCAAACGGCATCACCATGAACTCATAATGGCCATAGCGCGTCTGAAACGCGGTCTTCTATACATCCTCCTCTCTGACCCTCATCTGATGATAACCTGAATGCAAATCGATCTTGGAGAACCAAGATGCCCCCTGTAACTGGTCAAAGAGGTCATCAATCCTCAGGAGTGGGTAACGATTCTTCACCGTTACCTTATTCAGTTCCCGGTAATCTATACATATCCGATGCGATTCGTCC